ACTGCTGGAGGTCTCTCCCAGCCCCACACGGTCCCATGACCGTCACCTGCCTCACCAGAAGCAGATCCAAGGAAATGTTATCTCCAAGAGGGGGAAAAACAGCTGTATTCCAATATGCCCACAAGAAGGCATGGAAGAAGGAGGTGGGTGAAGAGAGAGAAAAGGGCACTGGAAGGGCTTTGCTTTTAAAATGCAGGCTTTTAACTAAGATGATGGGATACTACCTGTCCTGAATTGACTGCTCTGTTTTCACTGCATTTAGCATTGTTCCAATCTCCTTTGTTGTACTGTATTTTCAAACTGCGGAGGAAGGAGCCCCAGAGGAGGAGGAGGACGATCCCCGGAGAAGGTTCACCTGCCCTGGCCTTGGAGGGAGGAAGAGAGAGAGAAGGAAGGAAGGAAGGGTCTTCCAGGGACTCCCCGCCAGCTCAGGGCTCCTCTTCTCTCCGCCTCTCCTTCTCCCAACGCCCCGACCTCTCTTTCTCCCTCAAGCCAAGCCCCACAATCAGCTTCTCCAAGCGCTGCCCCACCTCCCCTCCTTCTCCCCTTCCCGGGGGCTTCCCGCCCTCCCTAAGAGGCGCCTTCACTCCCGCCCGGAACTCTGAAGGAGGGAGGAGGCTCTTCCGGGAAGGAAAAGAGGGGCTCACCTTCGGGGCGGAAACAGGAAGTGACTTCTAGACTTCCTGTCTGCTCATCTAGGAACTAGGATTCCAGGGCTCTACCTCCTTTGGAGGACCATCATTCTCTGGAGCATGAAGTCCAGCCGCTTGTCAAGGAAGAACCTGAACCCAGAACCCCGCAGTCAGAGGCCTAAAATCCCTGCGTTCTCTCTCCAGCAGCACATAAGAAATACACTTTTAATGGATAGATGTTGGACTTTTAAAAATAAGTGGGCTTTTTTATTGTTTGTCTCTGTCCGTCTTTGTGCCCTTTTCAAATCTGCTCTGAGCCGCCTGGAGTCCCAGATTGCAGGGAAAGATGGGATACCATGAAAGGGAAAGACAGAAAGACTGCGCACAATATTTGCTTCATCTAATCACAGTAGGAGGGCAGAGAAACTGTTGTTTTATGAAATGAAAGTGGATTTTTTAAATTTATGAATCATATTTACATCCCACCTTTTGGGCCTCACTATCCACTACACCACACATACTGCTAAGTCCAGATCTCTTTATCGACTAAAGTGTGAAATGATCCATACACCTGCATTCTAAGGGTCAAATTAAGTTGGTGAGTGCCCTCTATCACTTGAAACTGGCCTCTTCTGCCTTGGAGAGTTTATGATTACATTTTAGGTCCCAGCTGCCTTACCTGAATGCAGGCTATGAACCAGGATATTTTGGAGTATATGTGGATTGTTTATTTATTTATTTAATTTATATGCCACCTTATCCCCCCACTGGGGACCTAAGGCAGATCACAACAGATAAAACAACAAATGTAAAAACATTACATAAATAAAACATATCATCATAGGTATCCTTCCATGTCGAGAGACCATGGTAACATGCTCTGTATCGAGGAGTGTCCTCTCCAGAGCATGAAACCCGGGTAAAGTAATATGGAGGATAGGCTATTACCCAAGCAGCAGATCCCCCCTCTCCACATTGCTGAAATGGTCAAATGGAAAGGCAAGAGCCAATACAACTGGTTCCAGCAATGTCGCAGGAGTTGGCAGAATGACACATGCTGCCTTCGAGACTCCAGCTCCGGATTTTGCCTCGAGGTTAACTCCTGAAGCCTTTTCCATGAGTGGATATAGCCACAAGGCAGTGGAGGTTTGAAATCAGAGTTTTCCTTCTCTTAGATGGTCTGCTTTCCATGGCTGACGAGCCCCACCTACCCGGCCTGCTCTTTAATAGTGTGGAAGTATGATCTGACCCTTAAAACTTTCCTGCCTCCCAGGTGTATGCAATTCTAATTAGCTTTCCTATTTACCATATTAGGGTCAGAGAGAGAGTCAGAGAATTTTAGAATTTCACACGCCATTAGGCGCGCGGTCCTGGGACACCCTTATTTAAAGTAGAAAGCCCCACCACCTAGGCCCCACCCCCAGGCCATGCAGTGGGGGGGATCAAAAGAAAGCCCAGCATTGAAAAAAAACTCCTCGGCAAAATGTCCATGCAAGCATACCTGGCCTTCATTCTCATCCCAGCTTCCTAGGGAAAAGATAAATAAAACAGCTAACAAACCATTAAACTAGAATTAAGATTAAACAATGAAGTATAAAAAAATCAAAAACATTTATAAATCTCTAATTTCTGATAAACCAGCATTTCTGAGATAACTGACTGCTTCAAGGCCTGCCTGAAGCGGGAAAAAATAATATGAAGAGAAATAGTAACAGATAAAACTCATATTTAAAGGTAAAGGTTCCCCTTGACATTTTAGTCAGTCGTGTTCGACTCTAGGGAGCGGTGCTCATTCCTGTTTCCAAGCCATAGAGCAAGCGTTTGTCTGAAGATAGTTTCCGTTGTCATGTGGCCAGCGTGGCTATACACGGAACGCCGTTTACCTTCCCACCGAGGTGATACCTATTTATCTACTCGCATTTACATGCTTTCGAACTGCTAGGTTGGCGAGGAGCTGGGACAAAGTGATGGGAGCTCACTCC